TGGGATTTTGGTGGGGGGATTTGGGATGTCCTGGGGGGGATCGGGGTCTCAGGAGGGGGCTATTTGGAGTCCTGAGGGGGGGGAAAGGGGGAGGGGTGCAATTGGAAGTTCTATAGGTATCCTATAGAGATTTAAGGGTATGGAGGGAGGGGGGACATAGGGTGGTATTGGGTTTCCTCTGGGTGGGGGAAGGGCGTAATTTGGTGTCCTGCAGTGGGGGGGGGGGAAGGTTGGTGCTTTATGGTGGGATTCTGGGGCTCTCCTGCCCCCACCCTCCCCCACTCTCCCCCTTTCAATTGCAGCCCCACTGCTGGGGGGGGCGCTGGGCTGCTCTATGCTGCTGTGGGCGGGGCTGCTGCTGGCACTGCTCAGCCTGGGTGAGTNNNCTGGGTGGGTGCCCCCCCCCCCCGGAGAGACCCCTCCCCCAAAGAGACAGAGACCCCCCCATAGTGACCCCCCTCCATAATGACTCCCTCATAGTTTCCCATCCCCCACCATACTGACCGCCCCCCAAAGAAACCTCCCCATAGAGATCCCCCCCTCCAGTGTGACCCACCCAAAAAAGACCCCCCCATAAAGACCCCCCACTGTGCCCCCCAAATTACGCCCCATACAGTCCCTCCCCCCAGATCGACCCCCCCATGGTACCCAACGAATAGTGACTGTCTTAGTGACCCCCCCCATAGAAACCCCCCAAAAGAAACTCCCATACAGTCTGTCCCCAGTAGTGACCCCCATAGTGACCCCCATAGTGACCTCCCCCCCAACCCCCCCGGACCCTTCACCCATCCAACAGACATGGAAATCTCGCGAGACTTGGTGCAACTGCGGGACCACCAGGAGGAGCTGTGGGCGAGAGGTGAGATGGGATCCCCCTCCCCTCCCCCCCAAAAAAACAAAACCACAGACCCACACGATGGGACCCCATAACGAGGGGACCTCAAAGTGGGGACCCCCCCCCCCCCCACGGTGACACCCCCACGTGTGTTGTTCCCCCCTCCCCACCCACAGTGCCCCAGATGTGGCAGCGGATGGAGGATCTGCGGGGGAGGGTGGAGCAGGAGGAGAAGGATGGTATGGGGACAGCGGAGGTGGGGGAGCAGGGGGGGTATGGGGACACTGGGGGCAAAGGGGACAATGGGGACATCGGGTGTAATGGAGACATTGGGGACACTGGGGGTATTGGGGACATCAGGTGTAATGGGAACATTGGGGACACTGGGGGATATGGGGACATCGGGGGCAATGGGGACATTGGGGATATTGGGGGCAATGGGGACATTGGGAACAATGAGGACATGGGGGACATTGGGGATACTGGGGGCAATGGGGACAATGGGAACAATGAGGACATTGGAGACATTTGGAGACATTTGGGAGTACTGGGGACATCAGGTGTAATGGGGGCATTGGGGACAGTGGAAGAAATGGGGACATTAGAGGCAATGGGGACAATGAGGACAATGGGGACACTGGGGATATTGGGGACATTGGGTGTAATGGGGACATTGGGGACATTGGGAACAATGGGGACATTGGGGACACTGGGGGATATAGGGACAATGAGGACAGTGGGGACATTGGGGGCACTGGGGGCAATGGGGACATTGGGAACAATGAAGACACTGGGGACATTTGGGGCTATTGGGGACATTGGGTGTAATGGGGACATTGGGGGCAATGAGGGCCATGGGGACATTGGGAACAATGAGGACAATGGGGGCATTTGGGGCTATTGGGGACATTGGGTGTAATGGGGACATTGGGGGCAATGAGGGACATTGGGAACATCGAAGACTTTGGGGACACTGGGAACAATGAGGACATTGGGGACATTTGGGGGTATTGGGGACATCAGGTGTAATGGGGACATGGGGACACAGAGGGATATGGGGACATTGGGACATTGAGGGCAATGGGGGCATTGGGGACATTATGGGGGCAATGGGGGCATTGGGGACATTATGGGGGCATTGGGACGTTGGGGACATTGGGGACCTTGGGGCCATTGGGGCATTTGGGGATGCTGAGACATATGGGGACATTGAGACACTGGTGACACTGGGGACTCTGGGGACAGTGGGGATATTATAGGGACACTGGGGACATCTGGGTGTAATGGGGACATTGGGGACATTGGGGGATATGGGGACACTGTGGGAACATTTGGACAAAGGGGCAGTGAGGACAATGGGAACATTGGGGATATTGGGGACATTGGGTACAGTGAGGACATTGGGGACATCAGGTGTAATCGGGACATTGGGAGCACTGGGGGATATGGGGACACTGGGGACAATGGGGTATTGGAGGATCTGAGGACATTTGGGGACATTCGGGCCATTGTTGAAATCGGGGGATATGAGGACACTGGGGGCAATGAGGACAGTGGGGACATTGGAGGATATGGGGACATTGGGGACATTAGAGACACTCGGGGTCACTGGGGGATTTGAGGATGTTTGGGGACATTGGGGGTTATGGGGACAAAGGAGGGAATGTGGGGGATATGGGGACAAAGGGGACAACAAGGAGAGTGGGGACATTGGGGATATTGGGGACATTGGGTGTAATGGGGATTTTGGGGACACTGGGGGATATGGGGACATTGGGGACAATGGGGACATTGGGGATATTGGGGACACTGCAGACATTGGGAACAATGAGGACATTGGGGACATTTGGGGTATTGGGGACATCAGGTGTAATGGGGACATTGGGGACACTGGGGACACTGAGGGCAATGGGGTCAATGAGGACAATGGGGACATTGGGGATATTGGGGACACTGGAGGCACTGGGAACAATGGGGACATTGGGGACACTGGGGGTATTGGGGACATGGGGTGTAATGGGGGATATGGGGACACGGCGGACATTGGGGACAGCGAGGACAATGGTGATATGGGGACAGTGGGGGCATTATGGGGATATGGGGACACTGGGGACATTGGGCCCCGTGGTGCTGCTGTCCCCCTCAGGGCGGCACAGAGCGGTGATGGTGCAGCGCTTTGGGGCCGACGTGGGGCGGCTGCGGCTGGAAGGTACTGGGAGCCAAACTGGGGGGCACTGGGAGGGACTGGGAGTATTGGTCCGTACTGGTATTGGTTTGTACTGGTCCATACTGGTCCATTCGGGTCTATACTGGTTCCAACTGGTCCATACTGGTCCATACAGGTCTATACTGGTCCCTACTGACCCATACTGGTCCATACTGGTCCATGCTGGTCCCTACTGGGATTGATCTATA